ACACATTTTTCCCATTTCCCCCAACTTTCCCACCCATTTTTCTTAAATTTTCCCCATTTCCCCCCCAATTTTCCCTGGTTTTCCCAATTTTACCCCAAATTTGCCACCCATTTCCCCCCATTTTCCCAATTTCCCCAAATTTTTCCCCATTTCCCCCAATTTTACTCATTCTCCCCCATTTTTCCCAATTCCCCTCCACCCATTTTCCCCCATTTCCCCCAAATTTTTCTCATTTCCCCGTTTTTCCCCAATTTCCTCCTATTTTTCAAAAATTTCACCCATTTCCCCCTCATTTTTCCCCATTCCCTGTTTTTCCTTATTTCCCCCCATTTTTTCCAATTTTCCTAATTTCCCCCCCTTTTCCCATTTCCCCCGATTTCCCCCAAATTTTCCCCAATTCACCCGTTTTTCCCATTTTCCCCCAATTTTTCCCAATTTTCTCCCATTTTTCCTATTCCTGCTTTTCTCTTCCCCTTTTCACCCATTTCCCCCTCATTTTTCCCCATTCCCTGTTTTTCCTTATTTCCCCCCATTTTTTCCAATTTTCCTAATTTCCCCCCCTTTTCCCATTTCCCCCGATTTCCCCCAAATTTTCCCCAATTCACCCGTTTTTCCCATTTTCCCCCAATTTTTCCCAATTTTCTCCCATTTTTCCTATTCCCCCAATTTTTCCCATTTCCCCCATTTTTCCCATCTCCCCCAAATTTTCCCCAATTCACCCATTTTTCCCCAATTTTTCCCAATTTTCTTCCATTTTTCCTATCCCCCCCCCAATTTTTCCCATTTCCCCCATTTTTCCCATCTCCCCCAAATTTTCCCCAATTCACCCATTTTTCCCCAATTTTTCCCAATTTTCTTCCATTTTTCCTATCCCCCCCCCAATTTTTCCCATTTCCCCTGTTTTTCCCCTTTCCCCCCATTCTCCCCCAATTTTCCCATTTTTTCCCATTTCCCCCCAGTTTTTACCATTTCCCACCCAAATTTTGGGGTTTCCACCCCAATTTTTTTCAGCTTTACGCGTTTATTCA